TGGGAGGCAGTTTGGGTGCATGGCTATGAACTGATGGTATTTATAAGGAACAGGAGGGAGCACAGTAAAATAAATCCATCTGCCTTCATAAGAATTTCCTTGGTGAAGCTATACAAAGGGCTAAATGCAGACTCTCCCACCTTGAAAAGATCGAATGTAAATTGGAAGCTCTTCATTGACCTTGAATGCAAGAGAAACCAAATGGAAAATGGGAATTGAGTCAAATGACTAAAGACAAGTGTAAGTGAATGTAGCACAAAGATGTAGGTACAGAATTAGAAAGGTCAAGGCACAAAATAAGAGGCAACTAGCAAGAGAAATTGAGAGCTACAGTCAATAATTTTTAGGATGTCAAAGTCTTTGCTTCACTTTCCTGAAAGGAACTAGCATGGTAGCTGACTTAGTATATAATGCTTCTTGACTAAAAATAATGTAACTGTTTGGACTCTTGTGTCATCCTCAAATGAAAGTTGATACTGTGGATTCTTCTTTGTGTCATTTGGCATATATCCCACACCATAATCTTCAGTGTACTACTTACATTTTGGCTTGACTAGTGCTAACCATGGTTATTTGCAGTGCTGTCTCTGCCTGCTTTACATTTTTCATAGCTGACATGCAATGTGCCTCCCAGAGGAGGTCTTCTAATCTCATCTTTCTTCACCCTCAAGCTGTGTAGACTTTTCTCCAGTCATTGCACAATGAACCTACTGAGCTACTCCTTCCCCCAGCATCAATGGGATTTTCAAACATAAATATCTCATCTATCACTGGATTAGCATGTTTAAAATGTAATTCACTGAGTGGATTAAAGAGCTCAGGCATGGGTAATAAGATAAAGTACCTTTCACTGCAGTAATGCCAATTCAGATCAGTCCAGGATGTTAGTGACTGGGAGATACCGTCTGAACTGCATCAACTGAATAGAGACTCATGTCATAAATTTCTTTCTGGGCAGGATGGGGAGCTAGTGAATGGAGTGAGCTGTGCAAGCAGCGCCTTCCTACTTCAGGGACTAGAAAGATCATGCATCCGGATTTAAATTTGACAGATTTTATGACGTTTGATAGAAATAAGTTGTGGTGTAGTGGTATTTCTTGTTTGTCCTTTTAAAGAAAGGGGACAGTGTTTGCTGGGGAAGGAGGGCAAAAATCCCAATATTGTCTCTATTATTTGTAATTTTATTCCAACGTGAATAATGATTGTAATAATATTTATAACTTTGTTCAGTTCTGTACCTCAAATGATATGGCCCAAAGCACTGGTTGGTGTCCTCTAATTATCTTCCTGGGACAGCTGCGGCTACATCTGCCTCTCAGCTCTGCTGCAGATTGCTCTGTATTGGAGGAGGACAGGACTTGTCTGCACACACATGTAGATTTTGTTCTGTTTTTAAAACTCCTCCTGGTTTTATTTCTCCTTTCTGATTTTATTTAATTTTTAAGGAACTGTTCCCGTTTGGTTTTAAGCATTTAAAAGCCTTTTTTTGTATACACCTATCGCAGTACTCAGCACAATCAACATTTTTTTCTTTGAAAGTGTGCAGCTCTTGTTACAGGACTGGTATGTTTGCACCTCCCTGAGAAGGGAGCCACTTGGAAAAATGAGTCACAGTTTGTTTCCAAACCTTCAAGTGATGGGTATGTGATATTTTTTTCCCTTTGAATTTCTGAAACCACTTGTCAGAGAAGATAAGCTTCAGCCTTGGTTAAAAAGAAGCAATCGTGGCAAATCAGTCAAAACAGTTAAAATTAGGGCCAGAGAAAGTATGACCTGTATGAAAGGTCATTTTATACTTCTTCCCCCTTTTTTTTTTTTTTTTAAGTTCAGTCATTCTTTTCCTTTGTCCTGGAAGTAGTTGGTAATGCAGAATTTGGTAATGTGGAGTGTCCTAAAATAGACTTCTTCATTTGGAAAATACATCTGTTAAGTAGAGCAGTTGGTGATTATGTATTGGTATGTTTTAAGATAAACAGATGTTTTTCTGTAAGGTTATGACTGTTCTTATCTCATTTTGTCTTTCTCATCTTCTTCTCCCTCTCTTCAAAATTTATAGCAGAAACTAGAACTTACTCATAACCTAGTATAGTGAAATGAAAACTATATGCACCATGATAGTTTTGAGCAAAAGAGAATTAGTCTCTTTCCTGTCTTAATAATTAACTCTCCTGCTTCAGCTGAGGTCTTGTTTCACATGATAGTTTTCTCATCTATGTATGTTATTATAATAGAAATAATACTGAAAATTTTCAGTATTTTTCAGTACTCAACAAAAGATGATGAGTAAATTATCATCATTACGAGATTTCTTGGCTGCCTAATACTAGGTTCAGGGACATTAGTACTTACGTGAATGGAAATGGACTTCAGTGCATCAGCGCTGAATATGCACATAAACAGCTGGTGTAGGAGGAGATAATTGCATGTTTAAGTGTTTGTGTAGGTCCATGGATTTTGTAGCTGGTCTCACAGTAGTTGTGTGAACATTGACTGGTTTTGTTCCATGAACTTCCAAAACTTCCACACCCTCATGTAGATTTAGTTCTTTCATTTCTATTAAAAAATGATATTGGGGAAATAAGGATTTGGTATACAGAGGTGGGTTTTTTGAAAAAGATCTTTTAGCACCTGGAGAATGCAGGAAAAACACAGTCTATGCAGGTCAGCCCTGACACTGTATTAAAATTGAATGACCCATGCTAGAAACTAAATGCAAGTTTTCTACCCTGTATATTTGAATGCAAGTGCTCTGACCAGTGCTTTAGATGTCTGTGAAGAAATGTCTGTGAAGAAACTAAAGGCTGCCTGAGAACATCTCAGAAGGTTTGAAAAAGTAATCTGGTAAAAGCAGTAGTTACATCTTGATCAAAAGCCATCAGTACCTCCTCTGTTCCAGAATGGAGGTTGCTTTTTTTAAATGGTCTAAAACCTCACTATCTTTGTCCCCTTCTCTTCTGCTGTTCATTATTCCATCCGCATTGTGAGCCCAAATGCCTCTCTCGCTTTTTCAGGGACATTTACATTTGGAAGCTTTTCTTGCAAATATAAGAGTTGTGTAGTGCCACACTTATTGTGTTGGGTGAAACCATTTGCTTGGTATTGCTCATGAAGCTGTCAAAATAAGTGTGAGTTTACTTTGTTATGCCTCTGCGATTTCATGTTATGCAGATGTAGATCAGGCAAAGTGAAAAAAATGGGAGTTTGGGTGTCCGTTATTCCTTCTACTTTGTCAGAGGTTCTCATTGACTCTGCTCCCCTGCAGAAAATGCAATAGACATAAATTGAAATGGATAGTCTTTTCCTGCCATTGTGGTTGTGTTGTGCCCTCCTTTTGTTGCTTCATTCTGTTTTGTTCTTCCTTCATCTCCAAACAGGGAAGCCTTCGCAAAGCTCCAGAACTGCATGATGCTCATGTGCTGTGTGAGCTGTGCCAGCACTGGGTCTACCTTTTATTTAGTCTTGTGTCCCTGAATTCTTGAGTCCCAGGTGACACTGCCATAAAATACTGAAAGTCAATGTTAAATTGACAGTGGTTTTGCCACAGATTATTTAATTCAGTTCAAGGAGATGGCTGACAATGCTGCAGGTTGGGCATGGCTCCTGTCCTGTTTTGCTTTCCTCTTTGTGTGGCAAAGTACCATGATTCAGCTGGATGCAGACAGTAGGGTTTGAGGGCTTGCAGAGTACTAAAAAGGGGAGACTAGTTAATAAGAGCATCTGAGGGTCAGACTGATAATGATATGAAAGTGTGAAAAGATGCAGAAAATTACATTAGTATTTGGTGTGTATGCCTGTGTATCCTCAGGCAGCTAAGTGCCTATATTCCCATTTCACTGAATTTGTTGTTCCTGTTTTCAGTGAAGGTCAGTGTCTTCCTTGCCTGAGTTAACAGTGTAGCATCCTGTACTTCTGCTCAGGAGGCAGCGACAGAAATCTTCTAGTGATGTGCTGCTGTGTTGCACACATTTGGGCTGGTTATAATAACCCTGTTCATTGTCTTGACAATTAACAGAATCAAGTTGGCCTAAGGTAGGTGTTTTAACTTTGCTTTTAAGGTAGGAAGACATGAACACCTACTAATGAACAGTTATTTCAGAGTTCTTATTCAAAATTGTTGTTATTTTGCTATACAGTTGATGATAAGGGTCTTGTATATTTGATTATTCATCGATACAACAGCTACATACCTTCAGTGGAATTCTGTTAACGTACTAAGCAAATGTCATGGCTGGTTTGTACTTTCCTCTCAAGAGAGGATGTTGTGTTCCGTGATACAGCGTTTTGTTCTGATAGATGTAGAACTGGGTGTGCACCCTGCATTCATGGGGACTGCCAAAGGCAGGAGTGAAGTCTGTTTTGCCCTTGGGGTGAAAAGTGGTGATATCTGTGAGAGGCCTTGTTGCAGGAGAATTTTTGTCAGTCTTGCACCTACCTCAGTAAAACTGTACCACGGCAAGCAGCTGCATTTCACCAGGGAACAGAGCTGTGGTCTTCAGGTGACCTTCTAAGCAGCTTGGATTGAGGCAATGTGAAGACAGAGATAATGACCTAAGAGAGAGAGCACTTGCATTGATGTACTTGGGGCATGGACTTAGTGTTTCAGAATTTTTTGTGAAACACTTCCTATGCTAGCTCTGCTAGAGTCAGATTCATAATTCTTCATGTTTGGTACTTGAGGGTCAATGCTTGCTCTTTGTCATCTTTGTAAATATTTGGTATTTTGTAAGTCTTTGTTTTATTGTTTCTTTATTGAACACTCCCCAAAAAATGCTTTCCAAATCAAGACTCTTATTTTTCCTGTTGGTTTTGAGTTTGATTTGTTTTGTTGTTTTGTTTTGGGTTTTTTTTTTCAGTCCTTCCTCTTATTTTCTATCTTTCCCTGCCTCCAGATACTGACAGTGGCTCCCTCATGCTTCCCAGCTCTCATTTCCACTCTGATTAACTTGAAGTCTGGTTGGGAAAACATATTTTATTCTTCTTCCGTTCCTATTCTGTTGCAGATTTTGACTTGAACTATTTCTGGCATTGGAGCAAGTTTACAGACTACGTGCAGTGTGTCCTGACCTTCACCGGTGTGACCGGTTACATCACTTACCTCTGGCTTGACTCATCTCTCTTTGTGGAAACGCTGGGCTTCCTTGCAGTGTTCACTGAAGCTATGTTAGGTGTTCCTCAGCTCTACCGTAACTACCAGAATAGGTCTACGGAAGGAATGAGGTATGGTGTCTGTCTTATGTAAAACAAGTAAGTGTGTCCTTGTGTGTGTAGGTAAATCTTAGTGTAGTTTGGGAAAGCTTTTCTAGGAAGAGCAGTTTCATTTTCCTAAATTTTACTTGAAAATACAGCAGCTGTTGGAGTAGATTCTGTCAGTAGCTGGTGCAGCACTGCTGAAGGCAGTGGGAGCTCCATTACACCTCTGAGGTCTGACCTGTTGTCTGAGTCCAGCTGAACAGTTCCAAGGTGAAATACGTTTTAGTGCAATAAACGTTTAAAACTACTGCTGTTGCTGTTAGCAGCATATAAAAGTTCAACTCAAGCTGTGCAACACTGATAATTAGAAATGGACTAAAGAGATCTTGCATAGCAAAAGTAATGAAGAGGAAAATTTTTTGAGCCTGCAGCAAATAACTCTGCCAGTGTAACTCACATATTAGCTTATCACTTTTTTGTAATACATTATTATGTATGTAGCAAATGACATCAGTATTTATTTTTGTGTAACTTTTTTGCTTGTAACTGACATTTAAAAAAGCTCAAAGGAGGCATTTACAGTCACGACTAGGAAACCATTGGTAAACAAGTGTTGGACAGAAAACTAATCTTGCACCCACTCTTGGGGTATTAAACTAGATTATCTTTTCATACTGTATACTGGATATCTCAGCAATGACACTGAGATTTCCAAATCGCAAAGGCAACTTGTAAAGGTTTTTAAGAGACAAAATGTTCACTTCGGTGCATCAGTGCACTGGTCTGTAGGAACAGTAGAGCAGCAAATTGAGTTCACGGAGTGCTGTAATCATTTGTGACGCTGTCTTCTCTTTCATTGTTTTGAAATGACTTCTGTTTTGCTGCTTTTAAACTTGCTGGGATGATTTTTAATGTGGTCAAAACAAATAACCACTCTCCACCAACCCCAAACCATGTTCTTTGTTGTATTTGTTCCTTCTACTTGTTTGGCTTGGAGGTGCTTATACTAGCTACTTGAAGTTCTTTTCTAGCTTGAAATGTTGTTGAGGGAATGTACAGAAATTTGCTTTGATGCTTAAGGCATTTTCTGCTTGGGAGCCCCTTTGGTACAGAGTGAGTCAGGATGAGGCTGAGATGGGCTAAGAGAATTGGGGCTGTTCAGCCTGGAGAAGAGAAGGCTGTGTGGAGGCCTCATAGCAGCCTGCCAGTATCTGAAGGGGGCCTACAAGTATGCTGGAGAGGGACTCTTCATTAGAGACTGTAGTGATAGGACAAGGGGTAATGGGTTTAAACTTAAACAGGGGAGATTTAGGTTAGCTATAAAGAAGAAAGCCTTTACTGTGAGAGTGATGAGGCACTGGCACAGGTTGCCCTGGGAAGTTGTGTATGCTCCATCCCTGGAAGTGTTTAATGCCAGGTTGGACAGGGCTTGGAGCAACCTGGCCTAGTGGAAGGTGTCCCTGCCCAGTGGCAGGGTTTGGAACTGGGTGATCTTTAAGTTCCCTTCCAACCCAAACCATGCTATGATTTGATGGAAGTTTTTCACAAAAGCTCATAAAAATCACTTGGCAGTGAACCTTTTTGACTGCAAATTCATGGGCTACAGTTTCTTTTCTGTCAGTGCTTGGACTTCAGAGCCGCTGGTTAGCAGAATCTCCCCAGGTGCGAGAAAGAATTTTAGCATTAGGACTGAGCTGAGCTGAGTGTCTTGAACACTCAGAAGCACACATTCCAGGTGATACCCCAGTGTGGCCATCAATGGTTAGCTTGGAAGTATGGGCCCAATAAGCAAGGTAGTCTTGCAGGGGTTGTTGAGCTCCTGGTGTGTGCTGTTGTCTCTTTACTGACTGCACGCTTGGGTACAGGTTAGCACATGCTATGCCTGGCTCAGGACTGCTTGCGCAGCTGAGGGGTTGGAGGGACAGAGCCAGGTGACCTGGGTTTAGCAGTAGCAGTCAGTTTTTCTCCTTCTTGGTAGCTGGTGCAGCGCTGTGTTTTGACTTTCAGCCTGGGAACAGTGCTGATAACACCGATGTTTTCAGTTGTTGCTAAGTAATGTTTACCCTGACCAAGGACTTTGTGAGGCTCATGCTCTGCCAGGGAGGAGGGGAAGCCAGGAGGAAGCAGAGACAGGACACCTGACCCAAGCTAGCCAGAGGTATTCCATACCACAACATGGCATGCCTGGGGTGGGGGGTAACTGGGAGTTACCCGGAAGGACACAGGTTTCTGGGTCGGACTTGTTTTCGGCGGGTGGTATTGTATTCTCTTCCCTTGTTATTTTCTCTTATCATTGTTGTCGTTGATAGTAGCGGTGGTGATTTGTGTTGTACACTGGTTGCTGGACTGTTCTTGTCTCAACCTGTGGGAGTTACACTCTTTCAGTCCTCCTCCCCATCCCTCCGGGAAGGGGGAAGGGGAGAGCCCTGGGGTGGGGGGGGCCTCGATTGCTTCCAGCCCGACACCACTCACTGGGAGTGAGTGAACAAGCTGTCTGGCTAGGGTTTAAGCCACGACACCAGGGAAGGGCTGTGTCATCCCCTTGTCTCTCTTCTAGTCTGTGGCCAGTTTTCAGTCTGCTTGAAAGGACCCTCCTTTCTGCATATCTTTGGCTGTCACATTTGGTTGACACTGGATCAAAGGCACAAAACTTCACCACCTAGATACAACTAGCACAATCAGTTACTCTGCTTATGTGTGAACCTGTCTTGATAAATCTGGCCTAAAAAGGCTGAATGAGGAAAACCTCATTGCATTCAATCAGATCATTGTGCAATGAAATAAAGAAAATAGTTAGTCCCTCCTGTGGCAGTACTGTACTGGTCACAGTGATTATCCTGTTTTAAAAACCACAAGTTGCCGAAGGAGAAATAATCAGCATTTATCATCTCAGGAGCTGCCGGAGCCAGGAGCTGCAAATTTTAAGAATGCTTTTCCACTCAAAGTGTTTTATGACGTGTGCTGCAGCTGTGAGCCAGTTACGAGCAGGCATTTATCTGAAAGTATCCAGTGAAATAAGTGCAGTGTAAAGAGATATGAAAGAGAAATTATATTAAATGTGTATCCTGAGATATTATTTCCTCATTTTCACTATAGATAATACTAAAAATAGGAGAAGATGGTATGTCTTGGGAAGATAAAATTTTGTTGTGGGGTGCTTTTATTTGGTACTGCTTTATAGCTTTTTGCTTGCTATGCAGCTCTTCATACAGTTTTTTTAAGACAAGCGTTTGACTTTCGAGGACAATGTTTTTCCCAGAGACCAATCCTTTCTTTATTCAAACTCTGGGGAGATTAATGTGAGCTGCTAGGTATTTTTGCCTGTATTGAATTAGCCAGGTGCTGTGATGTCGGGCTTTATTCAGGGCTGGCTAACCAATGTGTGGCCACCCCCTCTATTTAGATTTAAGGAGATTAGGCAAGTGCTGTAAAGGTGCCACTGCTGTGGTTTCTTGGGATTTTTTTTGCCTGGGGGAATTTTTGAATAGTGAGTTACTTGCTTTGTAGTTCTGCTGTTTAAAAGGAAACAAAACCCTAATCCAGAGAGGAGTAGCATCAGTTGTGCGTGTTTCTGCCCAGGCACTAGTAATGCATTAGCTTCTTAACTAAAAATAAATTTAGTTCCATAGAAGAGAGATGTTAGATGCAGTTGACATCTATTACAGCAGCTTCATTACATATCTGTGCTTCTTTGGGGAGGTTCAGTGAAGGAGTAAGAGAAATTAACTGAAAAGGACTTAAAAAGTGTCAAAAGAAGAAAAGTTAAAAGAAGATAATGCAGGCAATACCACTATTGATTCCGCCCATCCCCAGCTTCTGTTTCTCACTGAGAGAAACTGCATGGATGAGAGCAAAATCAAAGAAATAGAAGTAGGGATAATGGATGCATACATGAGAGTTTTCCTCTTCTCAGTGTGCCATACACATAAGGCAAACACTGGCCAGTACAGTGGTGACCTGAGTTTGGAGTGCATTGTGTCCAGTCTGGCACTAACAGCAATGAAGCTGCTGAAGAGAGAAAACTCTTTCTCTGAGGCTTTGAGATTGTAGACTCCAAATCCTCATATAAGCATGTCTACTCTTATTCTTAAAATAGTAGTTGCTTTATATACTAAATAGTCAAGAGAGAGGAGGTTGAAGAGGGGTACAGGAAGTAGGGGCCACTGGGTTAATTAAATAAGAATAGCTTTATGGATTCAAATCATCTGACCCATAAATTGAGAAGCAGGTTTTTCATTACAGAAAGCATTGTATAGACAATCATAAGCGACTGAGTTCTAAAAGAGAAAGTAGATTTCAAGAGAATAATTGGGAACTAATAGGTAAATCTGGGATCCTCGCAAATGGAGTAATCAAGGTCTTAAGTGTGAACCAGAAATACATTGCTAAATGCAAAATTATTAGCACTACTTAAAAGTGGTTTGTACTTTGTGTTGTATAGGCTATTCCTTATTTTCACTGCCTTTTCTACTGCACTAAGTTAATCAGAGTTGTCAGTGTGCTTACAAATTGCCCATTTTAAACTATTCTTACCATTTATTGTAGTTATGTGATCGTATTCATCTTCCTAAGTGCTTTTTCTGCTCAGATCTTTAGCTTTCTCTGTGGGTTTGCAAAAGTTGTTGTCATTGCTTCTGAGGCTCCAGACAGCATTCATACAATTTTCTGGGGAAGTTTTACTTGTTCTATTGTTTTGCTTTGGTGACATTTCTTGTTTAATTACTGTGTCACTGATCAGCTGGTTACTATTGTCCTAAATGGTTGCCTTTATATAAAATAGTCTGGGGTTTCTAATTTCTGGACTTTGCATACATATCCATGTTTGCAACAGTTTGAGGAGTAGTCAGTAAACAATTTTCATGACTGGATGGACCATTTTTTTTGTACAACTGTAAGGCATATCACTTACAGCTTCTCTTCTCGCTACCCTTTTTCATTTGTGGTTCTAATAAACACCAGAACATCAGATTCCCTTCCTTAATCTGGCTGTTTTAAAGTTAAGAGTTTCGAAAGTCATCTCTAGTCCT